GTCCGCGCGCCGGACTGGGGGCTGCGGGGACCCTGGGCGGCACCCCGCCCTTGGGCTCCGCTGCGAGCCGAGGGGAGGGGGCGCCGGGCGCGCAGCCCCGAGAAGCTCTAGTACGGCAGGCACTAAGGGGGCAGATGCAGGCAGCGGCAGGGTGAGCCTTCGGGTACCCGGGAAGAAAGGTGACTCTTAACAGGCTGCGTGCCTGGAAGCTGGACCACCGCTGACCTTCCAGCTGGTCTGGGGCTTGGCTCCCCTCGGGTGGGGAGAGGACACTGGTGTTGGGGCTTGCGGGGGGAGAAAGAGATGGAGAAGGAGGCGGAGGTCATGGGATGCAGGCAGCCGTGCGGTTGGGAGCAGTGTCCACTCGCGCTCGGCAGGTGACCCCCACCTAGGTCACCGTCCCAGATTCACGCCCAGCCAGACATTTAAAAGCTGGCGGAGGCTTTCCTGGACACGGTTTTGGAGGACGGGGCAAGAGATGGTCTTGGCGTTCCCAGCTCTTAAGGAAGGGGCAGCTCAGCTTGGAACTGAATGTTGGCCTGTAATGCTACTATGAGGAGCCCTGGTGGTGCAGTGGTTAAGCATTGGGCTGCTAACCGAAGCGTCGGCGGTTCGAACCCACCAGCGGCTCCACAGGAGAAAGATGTGGCACTCTGTTCTTGTAAAAGTTACAGCCTTGGAAACCCTACTGCTAGTTCTACTCTGTCCTATAGGGTCACTGTGAGACGGAATCCACTGGTCGGCAACGGGCTGGGTGTTTTGTTTTTGTTTTTTGTTAATGCTACTATAACTTGCGGGGGTGGGGTTAAAAAATGATAAAAAAGAAAAATAAAACGACCTAGGTTTTGCTATGTTTTCTGAACCGAATCATTCTGAGGACAAGCTGCAGTTAGGCGGCGAGTGGGGGTGGGGTCAAGAAATGTTATTTCAGAAACTGCAAAAGGGGCTTTTTAGAGAAAAAAAAAAAAAACGAGTGTCGGGAGAGTTTCTGGCTTGTCTGGAAACGGCAAGACTAATTGCCATGCGCTTCCGCTTTGAAACTGGCAGCAGACAGCATCTTGAAAATGACTCACTGGAGGAGCTCACAAAGAAACTGTGGTTTGCCCCTTCTCAGGTTTATGTATTTGTGCCTTTTACAGTTTCCTTTGTAGTGTTCAAGGGGTCCCCCGCCCCTTCCCTGCCGGCCCCCTCCGACCCTCCCTCCTTTGAAAGCCCCTGGCCCGTCTGTACCTCCCCTCCCCGCACCAGCCCCGAGGGGCGGGGGGAGGCCGACTTGTTTTTGGAGTTGGCTGGGGAGAGGGTTAGAGGGACTCTGCTCCTGCTGCTGCTGCTGCTGCAGGGGGAAAAAGTTCCCTGAATTTTCCACTGGCTGCTGGAGGAAGAGAGAGCCCCTTTAGTCATTGCTAAGTAATGTCTGCACACACACCAACTAATCTCATTAGGAGTTTCCGCTGCTCCACACAGGAGGGGTTTTGTGCAGCCACTGTCAGCCCGGGGAGCCCTGAGCTGCAGAGGGAGACAAGTTACTGCTTTATTTACTTAGAGGTGCAGCCGCCAGTTGAGCTTTTTCAGGGCAGCATCGTGAAAACTTTGAAGTCACTCTTGGCCATTTTGGATTTCGAACGTACAGGTTTTTCCTTCCTAGTTGTGCGGTGTGTGTGCCTGTGTGTCGTTTCTGTTGCCCAAGCAGTTCAAACACACCCATCCTCTCCCTCCAGGCTTCAGTCTTTGTGGGAAGGGGAGGGACCTGAGAAACCAAACATATTCCAAACCCACCCACTGCTGTCAAGGCGATTCCGATTGCGACTCATAGCGGCCCTATAGGACAGAGTAGAACTTCCCCGGAGGATTTCCAAGGCTGTAAATCTTTACGGAAGCAGACTGCCACATGTTCTCCCGAGGAGGGGCTGGTTAGCAGCCGAGCGCTTTAACCACTGTGCCACCAGGGATCGCTGAAACGTGTTCCAGGCATCTATTAATCGATTTCTGAACCTTACCACCTTATTGCCAGACAAAATAGTCTCAGATGTCTGTCTCTTCTCTCTGGCACACATTTATTTGGGAAAGGTCAGGAGTTTCAATTTATGAGGATTATAAAATTTCAAATTGTGTTAGGAGGACACGTGGGTCGGACAGTTAAGAAGACTGTCCGTAAGTGTTTTTAGAGTTTGCGGTAATGATCCTGCAGGCAAAAACCCCTTAGTATGAAAAGTGATTGCCTTTCTATGCCAAACATAGCAAAAGGCCTCTGGCCTTTTTTTAATTTTTAACTCTTAAGTGTTGGCTAGAAATGTGTAGAGTTACTAAAATGGATTAAGAATTAAGGAATCCGATTGTAACTGTGGGATTCCTTTATTAACAAGGGCATGTTGCCTTTCTTGAGAATGTTTATGGTGTTGGCATTTCTTTTGTGGTGGCCAAAAAAAAAAAATCAAACCCGTTGCCGTCGAATGGATTCCGACTCATAAGGACCCTATAGGACAGAGTAACTACCCCATAGGGTTTCCAAGGAGCGGCTGGTGGATTCGGACTGCCGACCTTTTGGTTTATGGTGGCAAGGCATGTCCTAAAAATAGCCCAACCGGCATGAGTCAGTGGGATGCTCAGTAAATTGTATCACGGGAAGCTATGATAGTAGGGGAACAACAGTTGAACCCCGTTGCCGTCAGGTCGATTCCAACTCATAGCGACCCTATAGGACAAGGTACAGCTACGCCGTAGGTTTTGCTGGGCTGTAATCTTTATGGAGGCAGACTGCCACATGCTTCTCCCGTGGACGGCAGAACCGCCAGCCTCTCGGTTAGCGGCCCAGCGCTTAACCACCGCGCCACTAGGGCTCCTAATCTGGAGACAGTAAAAAAGCTTCCAAAAGCTAACATCACTTTGCACGAGAGTGCTTTAAGAATGGAAGGTGTAAAATTCGCATTTCAAGAGTTCATTTCCATTAAAATAAAAATGAGATAACTAGAATTCCTCCTTCCAATTAGTTATTATTCTAATTGGTTATTAATTGGAGTGCATAAGGTTCATTTATGTCGATGGTTCTCAACTAGGGACAATTTTGCCACCCAGGGGACATTTGACGATGTCTGGAGACATTTTTGGATGTCATAACTGGAGGAGGTGCTACTGGCATAGTGGGTAGAAGCCAAGGACACTGTTAAATATCCTGCAAGGCACAAGACAGCCCCCCACAACAAAGAATTTTCTGGCCCAAACTGTTAATAGTGGCCAGATGGATTTACGTTAGTTATGATGATGATGAAACTCTTCCACATGCATTCATTCAAGTAATAGGGCATGTGAAAGTCATCAGTTACTTTTTTGCCATATAGATAACACAGTATGTGTAAATTTCCTGTCTCTGTTTGTTTTTTGGTCCGTTATATGCAATGGAATGAACTGATGACATTGTGATGGCGTACCCTTTGTGAGCTAAAGTAGACTATCTTTGAACCTCCACAAGTGTAGCATCTTCAGTCACTAAGGTACAAATGGTTTTTCAACCAGAGTGGAAGCAGCCTAGATGGCAGAGAGCATGATTTTCTGCATCGTTTGCATTTGGAATTTCCTAAACCTTTATTAAGAATCTCCTCTTTTTCTTACTTAAAAGCTTAAATAACTTGAAACTGCCAATATGCAGTAAATGTAACCCTGAGATCATATATTGAAATTTATATTTGTAATAACTTTTAGGAACTTGAATCTCTTCCTGAAATTTGTTTTAAAGGATTTACAGGCAGTGTATGTAAATTACAATATTCCTTTCTTAGATGTCAGATCTTGGATTTTGTATGTTCTGTGCTACCTGATTATATTTACCGGAGTTAAAAAAAAAAACAAAAAACAGTATGGTACGATGAAATGTTGCAAAACATTACCTATTATCTGAGGCTGTGGCTTCCTATAGTAGAGTCTTTGTTCACTGATGGTGAGTTACTGCCTACTAATTAACGTTCGCTGTCTTCCAGTCCTAGGGAGTGACTCAGTCATCTCCACTTTCCCAGACCTGGAGTTCCTCATTGAACTTTAAAAGAAATGGGTTCTCGAACTACTCGGATTTTGTCACTGGTGTAGACCCCAGGTGTTTTGCCTCTGGCCCCTTCACTTACACATATACCTATGAATTGGAGCTCCTGGCATGGGTAATTTGAATAAAGGACATTATTTCTGTCATATTTTTCTGCGTGTTTCTGACCAAAAAAAAATTTTATGTCCCTAGTCCAAAAGGTCACAGTCATGAAAACCCTATAGAGTGCAGTTTTACTCTGAAACACAAGGGGTCACCATAAATTGGAGTCACGGCAGCTGGTTTGCTGTTTTAGTTACCTATATTTCCCAGCTCTGGTAGTTCGACAGTTAACTGAAAGGTTGGTGGTTCGAACCCACCCAGTAGCTCTGTGGAGAAAGACCTGGTGATCTGCTTCCTTAACATTATAGCCAAGAAAACCGAATGGGGCAGTTCTGCTCTGTCACATGGGGTTTCTATGAATTGAAATCGACTCAATGGCACCCAACAACAACAACATTTCCTCTTTGCGTTCTTGGATTGATTTATAACATACCTGAGACCACACTACACAACAGTATTTTTGAAAGGTTAGCTTTTGTTGTTGCAGAAAGTATGAATGTGACTCACTTTAGGAAGATACAGAAAACCGCATGCACAAATCTCCTTTAATCCGACTGGTAACATTTTGATGTATAGCTTTC